ATTGGAATCGCTGGGATCTCCCTCTTGAATGATCGGACACTCGGGATAGCCGTTGCGATAGCGCTCGACCGACGACTGGTGTCTTATAAGTGGTATCAGATCCACGACTCGAGGGTTACTGACGTTTTGTCTGAGATAATTGAGTAGATTTTGTCTGATGTATGAACTAAATAGTGTGTTATCCAAATCGTCGCCAACGATAACGCCCTCAAAGCCCAAGAGTATAATCTTCGGCTCAAAGACATTAACCTTTGTTTCAGTATCTGTTGAGTTGTCAATCATTGTGGTGTCGATCACACATATGATTGATGTTTTAAATTATATGTTACAATTAATGTAAGACTTATTGTTAGCAAATGACATGAAAAACAGTATTATGAGTACTGTACTATAAATAGCATTTATTTTTTTAAAAATTTAAATATTTAACTAACAAGAATCAATTAAAATTTTTAATTCACGCTATATTACAAATGTAAATATAATTATTATTATAAAATCATAATTATTATGATAGAAATATGTAAATTATAAATACCATTCGTTTAACGACATTAATGCCATAGTTTTGCGGCACTTTTACCACAAGAGTACACCTGATGGCCGGTCTGTACGCACCGGTGGGCTGAACAGCGCCCACAATAATTGCCGACTTATACGAGTGCTGACCGATTGTCACGACTGTTGTGTTTCGGCGACAGAATATATTATCATCCAAATAGTAGTTCTCATAATTAGCCCACAAATACTTCACTTGAAATAGTATTAAAATACATATATTTTTAACAAACATATCTCCAATAAAATTGTTTAATTGTGAAAATTGTTTTTAAGTTTTTTATTAAACAAAATTGATTTGTTTTTAAATAACAGACACAATGATAGGCTCTATGCATTGAATTCTGGATTCCTGTTAAAATACATTAGTTTTTCTGGTAATTTTCCGCTTTAGTGAACATCTCTAATGTCATGGGTATAACCGGTGCTCTAATTTCATTATAATATGGTTAGTTAATGAATGCATATTTTATACATATGCATGTATGTACCTTATGTTACATGTTTTCATAATTACTATATACACAATATATAGCATCATATTCTGTGCATATATCCATATAAATGTGTAATATATTCTGTGCAAACTCTAACATACAATTCTGTATAAACCAATTCAATACAATACAAGCGTTTGCAGTATATTTTGCTATAATATAAAAAGTTTTAAGTTACAAATTAATATTAAAAAGAATACGTTATTAAGAATTAAATAGTATTTATTGAAATGAATATTTTAATAACATTTATAACATTTGAAACAAAAAAATAATAAAAAGATTATTTAAAATCAATAGGATTTTACAGTTCAGTTGTTGTGATGGACTTTTGAGTTAGTTTTGCGTTGTCTTTAACGTCCATATCTTTAATGGACAGGAGATCTGTTTCCGGGTTAACACTGCTATCGGAATGAGTGGGCGTTACCTTCACTCCGGACACTACCGGTTCAAGCGATGACATCGGCGGTGGTTGTGATGGTTGGGATAGTTTTGGTTCAATAGTCGACGGCTGGACAACCGATGCTTCACCAGTCGGTGCCGTCTCCTTAGGCGTGTCGTTAGTGACCGGAGTTTTGGGATCAGATGTTTGGCCGGTATTTGAAGACGGGATTGTGATTGCGGACGGAGTCTGTTGTGAAGGCTTTGTCGCCGACTTTTTAGGTAATTCCAGTTCTGTTACACTGTCTATACATTTAGTAAAGAAATGACAGTTTTATTATAGAAATAATAATTTTAACAACTATTATGCGGACCAGTAGTTGGTGTGAGATCCTGGCGGCCATGAGGCTCGTCGTCCATATAATAAGCCGTAAGAATCCTGTATTTCAAATACAATTAGTTTATCACAAAAAGTGATGTGATATGTAATAATAGGATAATACAAACCAACAAATTCCCAGCGATATAATGATCAAAAAACATATTACAAGCAATATAGTGGACAAATATGGGATCGTTTTTTGGTTAATATTTGCATAATCACTTGAATTGGTCGCATTTCCGTCATTGGTATTATTGATTGTTATAGACATTGTCGACAGATCAGTGGTTTGCAAATTTGTCCCCAATATATTGCATATAATTAGAGTAATAACTAAATATAGTGTAAATTTATTCATATTTGTTGACTGTATTTAACGCCAATTTATTGCCAAACTATTTGTAACGGTAACTGAATTAATAAAACAAATCATTAACCATGCTATTATTATGTGATAGTCATTTAACAATAAAAGCATCATTAATAAATCGCGAGTAAACAGTTAATTGATTTATTTAATTAGTAAACACTTATTTAATTTATAAGCGTGTTTCCAACTATTGGTTAGTACAATGTGTAAAATAATCAGGGCCAGTATGTTAGGCCGGGGGTTTACATACTTCCAATGCTCATAATTTTAATTATACTTTTCATTCACAAAATTGTCATTTTATGTCACAAATAAATAAATGAGTACTTTATCGATTGTCTCATTGATTATCATTATATTGTTATGAAATAATGATTAAAATGAATTTGGATTTAAAACATTAAGATTGTCATAAAACAGTGTATGTATGGATGTATCGCGAGATTGTATATTTCAATAATTTTAAATGTTTACTAAATAACAGTTAGTTTACACTAAATTACTGTCGAATAACAAACATTATTTTCAAACAAAACTAAAGTAGAAAATCGTTTATAAATTTATTATGGGATCAATTATATCAAAGACATTGTGTAAAAGTGATCCGAGAGTAACAGGGGGTCCGTCCGGTGCGGCCACAAACCCAATACCAGTCCGAGCCCAATACCAATACAAACCCAATACCCAATACGAGCCAAACATAAATGAGTTGTTATCCAATGAAGTGTTGGCTATAATTCTGTCCAAATTGGACCTCAAATCTCAAGCGAAGGCCGAAAGTGTGTGCACTCTATGGCGACAAACAGTGAAAGACATCTTTGCATCAAAACACACGCTTACTATCAATGAGTGTAAAAATAATCTCGTTATTCAAAAAGAAAAGACTAAATGCAAAGACTGTGTCTTTCCGTACGATTTCGTGTCGCCTTCGGCTCCGGAAGAAGTGATCCGTCAGACGATCGGACAAATTGTGGCCAAATTTCGGGGCATTCGTTGTCTTTCGGCCACATTTAGTGGACTAAAAGCCAATCTCATCGAAACTTTGTGTAACGGATGCGACGCCGATATCCACAGCCTTTATATTGTTTACGAGAACGAAGCGCTTTTCATTAAACTCTCAGAGATTCAAATGGTGGTCAAGAAGTACCCAAATTTGCAAGAGTTTTACGTCAAGGGATTTCGCGATATTAGGATCAGTGATTCCGCCATTCGTGAACTGTTGAAGGGTTTGCCGGCTTTGAAGAAATTCACACTCAAAGCACCCGTAATGGAGTTGAAAGATAGGGGACATGTGTTTGAGGGCATGAATGCCGGCATTAAAATGATTGACACTTCCAGCACTTTGTTCAACGCGACCGCCATTTCACGGTTGGGCGCCAAACGACCGGATCAGTTGCGCGAACTCAAACTCAAGCACTTTAATCCCCAATATATGGCTCTTATTGCTGACAATTTCGCGAAATTAGAGAACTTTTGTATTGGTTTTTGGTGTAAAAATTCAGAAAATCAAGTCTTAGACTTAACGCAAGTGTTGGCCTCCATCTCACGTCTCGTCCATTTGCAAGAGTTGTCAATATCTGCTTCCAATAATTGCACTCAAATTCATGGCTCCGATATTGTGAGACTCAGAGAGTGCCCTAATCTCCATACACTTACCATACGGTGCGCTCACATGACCGACAACTGTGTGAAAGCAATGGTTGACAACATCCCGGCTCTCAAACAACTCACTCTTTACAATATAAAAACTGAATCGGAAGACTTGATGGACTGTTTAGCGCCGCTTCGATGCGGCCGACACTTGCGCTCATTAGGTGTGCAAATGAATAGGAAACTAACCGATGCTATCATCGAGTGGTTGGTCACCAATTGTTCGCACATTAATTTCATTGACGTTTCTTATGGCGCACGCGTTACCATCGATGCGATGGTCAGGTGTTTGCGGTTCTGTCGACAACATCCTAACCGTAAACTTCACGTTATTATTAGCCGTCATCTCGAAAAACAATTTAATCGCAAATTGAAAGAAAAATTGCCAAACAATTTAGTTTTTCAATACAAATAGGGATTTATTTATATATTTTAACTGATCATAACTTCCTGTTATGCCTTTAATTTACAAATTTGTTTTATCTCTAAATTGTATACGAAATAAATTATATTAAATTTGTTTAATTTATGAAAATTAAAAACATTGACAAAAAACAAATTAAAGTATAGATTTGACACTAAGATTGTCACAAAAGTGTAGCCATTTAGTAGCCATATCTCAATAATACAAGTTTTTAAATTAGTAAACACTTATTTAATTTATAAGCGTGTTTCCAACTATTGGTTAGTACAATGTGTAAAATAATCAGGGCCAGTATGTTAGGCCGGGGGTTTACATACTTCCAATGCTAGTCAACAAGGTACAATTTATACAGTATGATACATTTAGTCATGCATTATATTTATAATGAATAAAACATTTTATTTTAAACTTAAAACAATTACATAAGAAAGTCAAATACTAACTTAATTAAACAGGAATTGATATTAATTTAAACTGTATTTAAAGCTTAGAAATGCCGATCAAATACTTAAATATTTGCAAAGCGGCCTCTGGTTTATCCTCAGGAACCATATGTCCGGCCCCGCGAACCAACACAAATGTCAGACCATTTTCGTAGTGTTGAACAAAACCACCGATTGCTCCGTCAGGGGTTCCGTCCTCTTTCCACTGACTTTCATGTTTTTAAAAAACGTTTATATTTTAAACAATAAGTAAATACTAGAAACATTATAAAACATATCACAAACCGATAATCTTCAGCCTTTTTGCTATTCGTGTTGACAGCGATTCCGTCAACAAAGCGTTGGCCTAACAGGAAAGTACAGGCCGTATCGAAATCTCCGTTGTAGACAACATATTTGCCTATTTTATACTTTTGGATCAATTCAATGGTTGTGTTCACTTGCGATGTAACGCCTCCACCATAGTTACCGCCACATCCGGTCCATCGTTTGGCATCTTCTCGTACGTGTAGTGCCTTTCGTACGGCCGGCAGGTTTAGGTAAGGCGTGTGACCATTCTTAGGACACTTTACTTTATTCACTTTCCCCGCGTTTTGAGCGTTTGATATGATTTTAATGCCCAAACTCTCGTAACGAGGCTTAAAGTGTTTGTTGTAAACGGCATTTAAGTAGAGGTCTGGAGAACAGTTGTCGTATATATTGTATGCGTTTGGCGTAGAAATGGGAGGTCTGATCACTTGTATGCACTTTCTGTTCATAAAAATGTTATTTTGTTAGAAGTGTTTCTAATGTGAAATTGAATTAAATCTGTATTTAAACATGATTTAAGGCTAACGTCATATTCGGTGCTTTCAAAAAATTGCATTCGTGTTGAACGCCGGGCGTTGACTGACAACAGGCCTCAATCTTCTTCGCGTACCAATCAGTGGTCACTAATCCGTGCCCTAAAGCGAAGTCAATTGACGACATGTAATCATCAAATGCGTTAAGCAATCCGTTTCCAACAGCCAATCCTATTATTGACATAATTTTTGTTTCATTTGTTATTAAAATATATGTATTATTAATAACAAATTACATTAAATACCCTTCAAATTGATGGTTGATTTTCTTTTAAATATCTCAGTGGCCAACATTGGGATATAAACGCCGGCATAACTCTCGCCCGTTATATAAAATGGATTTTTCTTCAAATGTGGATACTTTTGAAAGAAGCTCTCGAGGGCTAAGTAGTTGTCATTAGCGGTCGACTCATCGGTATTGTCGGGTTCTTTAGTGGTTTCATCATAACTAAAACCGGTAGAGACGGGAGACTCCATGTATACCATATTCGCCACTTTATTCCACGCGAAGTCATGCAATGATAGGGTCTTTCCGTCTTCGTTGGCCCGAAAGGGCCCGTTCTCTG